CGAATTCCATAGACGCCGATATTTGCTGACGGGTAAAATACGATATATAATATGCGTAGGTGCGTGAGAGTCACCTTTCTATCTTTCTATCTCATTAACTCTTTCTGTCATTAATCAATCATTAATCATTAATCATTAATCATTAATGATATCAAAGTTGGGAACACTCCTAATGGAGCGTTAGCCCCTTTGCAGCAGCGATATCAAGCTTCACAGATCTTCGATGGTGAATTCGTCACTTGTTTCGCTCTGCTTCTGTACACAGTCTTCATCGTATGCAAGCAGGTTGACACCATTCGCCTATCCCAGCGCTTTCATGAATCTCTCCCTCGCCACATACATGCAACAATATAGATGATGAGCGCGAAAGAGACAATCGCAGAGATGCCGATCAGGTTACATTGCAAGCAGCGGGTCCAGCCTATAATTCATTACTGCATCTGTAAGAACCATCACTGTAGCCTGCAGGTTGCTAATCGGCAGTGCACCTTCTATAGATAGATAGATAGATGTCGTTGTGTAAGTATGCCACAACACAAGACCGTCGGTAAAATCACTAACCTCAACTTCCTTGCTGGTTAAATCGCTACCGGCGATGTTGGCCGCGGTTACTACTTACTCGGGGGGGGGGGGTTTACACTCGACGCGACGTGCAGATCGAGAGACTTGTGGCATTAGCATGATTAGTAGGATGAGTGTTATACCCTCGTGTGTGAGTGCTGAATTTACATGCTGCTGCATGTACGGATAGCGGTGATCATTGGCTTTTACCACCACATTATTTTTCACAAGCAATCACATTATAATAACGAAATAAGATTCTATGGACTTTGTGATATAATATTGGACCTCATAGGGTAATTATTTTTTTACCATGAAAAATCATGGTTTTTGTGGCCAGAACTGTCTTCCATGATAATAGCTGATCCTTAATCACACAGTGCAGACCCTTACACGACCCCATGTAGGTTATGCTTGCTCTTCTTCCTAGTACAACTGTCAACAAATACCACCATCACAGCTAGACGATCAATTAGACTCCACCCACTGAATCGTTTACCTTATCTGAAATTGGGTTTACCTGATCTTATTGAGGTCATCTCAGTTTCTGATCATACATATATTTATACACGGGACAAACGAGTGTTTCTGTCAATGCAAAAGCAGATGACGTTTTCATGCAAGGAAAATATTACACAGGGCTTGGTGATTTGCAAAAAAACAACAGAAAAAAAACATTTTTTTATAGTATAAGAAATAAGACAATCTTATATGAGAACCAATAGTTGCAATAATTCATTATGTTGACAATGATCATACAAGAAACGTGAATTTCACGTTAATATTGTAGCGTATCCGCATTGAGAATCCCATGTGGTTATCGCAGACGTTCTCACTCATGTGATTAGTTCTAATGTAATATACAGAAACAAGCTATATATGTAGTAACAAAGTTCAGCAATACCTTCTTGTCCTAATACTAATAGCAAACTAAAGTAGTGTAGTTAAAGTTAAACCTCTAATGTGGTACCCTTGGCACTTGGATTTCGCCAATTAAAACTGTATTACTTATGGAAGCGCACGCCTTTAAAAACAACACCCAACCTGAGCAAAGCCTAACCAAACCTAAGGTACACTTATTTTGAGGTTTGACAATGGTGTGCTCTCATGATTCAATATATTTTAAATACGGGAAACAATAAATAAGCAGGTGAATTGTATAAATAAAATCACATATTTCCCGAACGAGCAACATTGCAAATTGCCAGTTGCAATTTAACATTGCAATAGGTGTGATCACTTCTGTGGAACTACACGGGGAATAATTCTGCATGATAAGAGTTGCCTGGACCAGCATGCCAGATGGGAGCAGTTCTTCTACATATAATTAGCTTGTTGCTGGTTCCCATAACATTGCAATGCAGCAGTACTTTGCAAGTTTCACGAGCAACACCTGTATGTCCATCACGTTTGTACCAGTTAATCCTATTTTCAGCAAGCGCCGAAAGCTGCCATCATTTGAACTCTCGTCGACTTTCTCCCAGAAACTGTAGGAATTGTTGTTGTCCAAATACATCTGAGAGTCAACAGGTAGCGCCATCTGTGTACTGGCAACGGCACCAGCCGCGTCCGTGGGGCCGTCCTGGCCGTCGGTGCCTGCGCAAAGAAACGATGCGAACGCCTCGTCGCAATTTTCCAGCGCCCACGCCAGCGCCATCTCCTGGTTGCGCCCACCCTTCCCTGTGCCTTGCAGCGTCACCGTCGTCTCGCCTCCGGCGATGAAACACAGCGGAGTCCCGCTCGCGACTCCCTCCAGGAACGCCTCGTCACGGCACACCGCGTCACGCCACGCCGCCGGTACGTCGTCCCACGCCTCTGCGACGCGATGCGACAAATATATATTTATGTGTCAGTGTGCGCGCAATGGCGGCGGCGTGTGTTTACAGTTGAAACGCTCCAAGTGCCTGTGGTAAATACGATCACGCCGTCACGCGTGGGTTTAAATAAAGAAGCACGCGGTGACACACACACACGCACGCATACACACACCCACGCATGCACACACATACACACCCACGCACACACACACTCACGCACGCACACAAACACACACACGCACACACACACACACACACAAACTACTTATGTACGTGTTTACGCACTCCGTTACGAAACTAATAATAGAATAGCTATCGAATGTTTTCAGGTATATATGCTGTATCGAGTAATGGTCGCTTATTGCCTCATGCTAAGATACATAGCTGGAGTTAAATGGCAGGATAGGATATCCAGTGAAAAAGTGGCAAAGAGATGTGGTTTAAGAGAGATACAGAATAGAACTAGACAGAGAAGACTACAATGGTTTGGGCATGTTAGAAGGGAGACGGAAGGAGGAGTACTGAGGTTTGTGGAAGAATTAGAGATCCCCGGAAAAAGACCGGTTGGAAGACCAAAGAGAACATGGATAGGGACAGTGCAGAAAGATCTGAAGGACTTGAATATAGATGAAGGATCAACGCAAGACAGAGAACGGTGGAGGAGGATCATCGCAAGTCCAACCCCAGGCACGGGAAAAGATGGACTATAAAAGAAGATGATGATGATGATGATGATGATGATGATATAGTAAGTAAACTAGCTGTATGAACTGTTATAAAACTATAGAGTGAACTGTTGTAAATAGTGTGATTCCTTGTACGTTGCTTATATGTTAAATTAAAGATATATCTCTTACGTTACCAATAACTAAATGTTTCTACTATCTAGTTTCATTCTCTATCTCCGCATTGACACCACGGCACATATATAAACTATAGCTATATCGATCTAATTTGTAGGCGGGTTTTACACGCGGCGGTGACAAATTTTACACCCCTAGACAATAACTGATGAATGCGGTAAAGACACGGTCACGGGTCAGTCGCAGAGCAAACCGGTACAAATTTGTAGCAGATGATGATTCAGTTGAAAAGCACAAAGTTCTTTGTTTATAAAAAGTTCGCGTCCTTGTAATTCAACCCAACAATGGCGCCCATCTAGATAGACAAGTGCTTCCACAAGTTGATCACTACCCCCCGCCCTAGGAATGAATCTCAATCAGGAGACGATGGATGAGATCATGGTGAGTTTCGATCTGCAGGCAATCCAGGAGGGCTTAAGCAAACAAGAGTGGGCGCACTTTTCGAGAAGATCGCGATTGACTTCGTCGGACCCCTACCACAGACAGAGAAGGGGAACGTCTACATTATGGTAGTGGCAGACTATTTTTCTAAGTGGGTGGAAGCGTATGCATTGCCGAATCAGCAAGCAATGACAGCAGCGGATTGCCTTGTCATTGAGTTTGTGTGCCGATTCGGAGTGCCGAGGCAAATTCATACGGACCAAGGACCGGATTTTGAGTCCAAGTTGTTTAAAGGCGTCTGTCAGCTGCTCGACATACAAAAGTCGAGGACAACTCCTTACCACCCTCAGTCAGACGGACTAGTAGAATGCTTTAACAGGACCCTTCAGAACATGTTGACCGTTTATGTGGGTGAGCACAGAGATGACTGGGATGATCATCTGCCGTACTTATTAATGGCATACCGGGCCACAAAGCAGGACAGCACGGGTTGTAGCCCTAACCTCCTAATGTTCAGTAGGGAAATAAGTGTGCCACTGGATATCATAGTGGGCCCTACGGCTACTACAGAGGACTAGTAGAATATGTGGAATGGATAAGACGAGTCATGGCGGAAGCTTACCAGTTTGCTGCGACAATGCTTAAGGCAGCTGCGGCGCGTCAAATGAAGGGGTATAATAAAAAGGTAAAAGAAACCATATTCAAAGAAGGGGATTTAGTGTGATATTATTACCCTCCGAAAGCAAAAGAAAAATTAAACAAAGGTTGGCCAGGGCCGTGCCTTATCACAAGAAGGCCATCACCTGAATTGGCTCAGATAAGCATTAAAACGAATGGGAAGAACCGCATGGTTCACCTGGATTCGTTAGCTGTCTACAATGGAGGGGATCAGGGGAGCCATGCTGCTGAAAATTCAGGAGGAACGGGGAACGAGGACCAGCAGCATAGCGAAGCAGGCTGTCAGGGATGCACAGGAAATGACAGGAAATACGACAGCTTTGAGCAAGAAGATCCCTTGGCAGGCATCGATAGCTAGGCGGAACAAGAGCAAGGGTTGGACACAGGTCTTGTGCCTCGGCATAGTGAACGCGCGAGAAAACCTGTCCAACGTTTGGATCTGTAGGGGTTTCGATAGAGCGATGTAACAAACTATTTCGGCCAATGTAGCAACGCAAGAGTTTTGCAAACGGATTGTGGGGCAGCAGCGAAAGGAATCCGACGTCTAGTGATGGCTAGTCTCGCCATTGTCTCCAATGGGCGATACCGTCGAGTGGGCAAAGGTTGAGTGAGTGCTGGATGTTATGGTTTCAGTCATCTACTGTTGTCGTCATAGAGAGGCATCCGGGATGCCTGCTCCTAAAGGAGACGATCGCGAAGGACGCTACCTCAAAAATGCCCTTAATTTGTGCTAGGTGATTAACCGAGAAGGGTTAAGTCACAGTGAACAGGGAGTCACAGTAGAAGGATCACGCTCGGGGATAGAGCGCTGTCTGACAAAGTAGAGGAAACAAATGAACAATGAGCTGTTCAAAATATGTACAGCACGACGAAAATGTATGCGAGCTACAGACCGAAAATGAACGATACGCTAAAAGGGGGGCTATACATCGGTGCGATGAGTTCGAGTTGTGCGTTAAATTACGTGCTATATGTGCCACAGGCACTGAATGTGATAACGTGCATACCCACTAGCGAGTTTCTGTTACAGAGACGATGGCAAACCTGTACATGGAAGAGGAGGCTGCCGCTGCTGCTGCCGCTGCAGAGATACTGATGGCGGAAATGGAGGACGACAACAAGACACCACTGTTTGAGCGACCATCCCCAGTGGAAGAGCTCAGCGAGGCGGAGGCCATGCTGCAGGACGGAACGTTCAATCTTCTGCCTCAGCTGCTCTCCCCCATGTCCGACAGCTTTATGGAGGAGGCAGCTGCGAGCAAGGAGAACGAGGCCGCCGCGATGCCAACATCACTTGACAACTACCGAATACCTTACAAGTGTAAATTCCCGGGGTGCGGTACCTCGTGCAAGGAACGGCGGTACTTGCACCGACACTTCGAGGAACATCACATCAAGTTCTACCTGGGGTACCGCTGCGAGAGGTGTGGGTTTAAGGCGCCCCGATTGAACAGTATGCGTGGCCACCTCGCTACTGTTTACCGGTGGCCCAAACCAGACCAGCCACGCCTCTCCACCCAGTGGTTAGAGCACGACGACGAAGAAAAGATAGATTGGGAATTGACCCATGCGCCTCCCGGTTTCCGGTTGCGTGGGGGGGGGGGCAGAAGAGGCTATCGAGAATGAAGAGACCTACGCCACCGGAGAGACGGGTAATAAAGAGACAATCTAGACGTGGTCTCCACGAGGAGGACCGGCAGCCCTTGAGGTCCTTGGTCATGGAGACACAATTCTCATCGGTCGGCACCCGAGAGGTGTATCGGGAGCACCGCCAGGCGGCTAACAGGAAGGCCCACCGGAGCCACCCGAACACCGTAGCCACTTCGGCCAAGTCTCATCCGGCCGAAGAAGGTGCACGGCAGTCTGAGGTACCGGTTGGGCCAACTGTACCCACGAAAGGGGAGAGTAAGCAGGAGCCAGCCAGCCAGAGCCTGGCGACGCTGGTGACGGTCGGCGCCACAGTGAGCCAAGCAGACGTCCTCGCCACGGTCGGGAAGATCCCCACCAAAGACGGTGTAGGCGACACTCCGGCTGCCCTGAGATCGGCGTGCAACGATATCCGTACGCGGATCCGTCACGATGACGCCATCGTCACCGACGCAATGTGCAGGATGTCGGCGGCCCTATGCCGGCAAGAAGTCGCCCGCCGGGCATACGACGCCATAAAAGACGGCCTCCTGCAGCGGGAAGCAGAGGAACGCCACAAGCAGAGGCAGGAGGAGGTGGCGACCTTGGCTCAGGTGAGCAGGGAGTTGAATAAGATAGGCCAGGAGAGGGACGAGATGAAGGAGAAATTGGAGAAAGCTTCAACCCATGCCCCCCTGACCCTCGACCGCTGCCTCAGCTACCTCAGAGGACAGAAGTACCTGGTCGCCGTATTCGACGAGGAGGGACTGCCACTCTGCGAGCTGCCAACCAACCTGGAGTGGAAGGAGGGCAAGCTCCAGAAGAAGGAATTGTAGGGAAGTCAGTAACTGGGGGGTTAACTTGAGATTTAATTTGCGTTACATTATAGGCAAGCCTTCCTCAGGACACGTTAACTAATCGTAAGGTAATGTTTGGTAAGTGGTAAATTCACCCTGTTGTTACATTGTTACATTGTTATTGTCATGGACCCTTATGGGGTCAGAGGTATGTATTGTTTTCTGATATTGTTGGTAATGTTACATTCAACTTTTTTGGACGAGTCGTTCGACCCTTTAGACGATTTTGGCGGGTCATTACATTGATGTTTTGGTATGTGTGTATGTATGGGGGGTATTCAATAACGATGAGGTTGTATAGGTCAGTTGCCTGCACGGGGACGTGCAGTGTTTAAGGAGGGGAGAGTGTAACGACTTGGCTCTTCCAGCACTAATATAAATTTGTGTCTCTTACTCTAGTCCTGGTTAACGAGGGATCAGTAGTAAATTTAACTGTCACTATAAATAGTTAGAAGTAAACTACAGTAACCGTGATTTCTCATATTACATTATTAGCAGTTGGGCGGTCGGCCAACTGGTCAATATACTCAGCCTACTGTAGAATCAATGCGTATATATATGGGTAGCTGTAATTCTCACCGTAGTATTGTAAAGTACTGTAGCAACACGATCTGTTCATTAACTGTGTTGTGGGCTGGTTGTAGTTCATTATCATCATCATTGTCATTGGATAACACTGTATATGTACGGAAATGGTGTAATTTGCATCAATGAGTCAAGATAATTGCAATAATGTAGCTTGACGCACTGACTCAGCCTTGACGCGCTGGAAATGCTGAAAGTTGTTGTCAGTTGCGTGGTAATCGATAGTCGCGTGATCGCAAGGATAACTGAACCAGAAGCCTAATTATATTGTTTTAAATGAAGATTCTTGTATTTAAACTATAATATCTGATAAATCTTAAATAGTATATTTGGTTAAATGATGGTTGGCAATAAAATCGATATGTGATAGGTTATAACAGACAGGAATAATACAGATGTAATAGTATCGTTTTCCGGTGATCCCTGTCGATCTAACGACATTGTATATAAATATAGCTGTACGTAGGACTCCCAAAGGAGTCGTTCGCCGGTTGTGACACTACCAGGTTAGGAGCTGAAAGAGCCTTAGGCTCATCGCTCGGCTGAATTTACTGGTCGTGTTGACTAATTAAATATTTACTAGTTGAGTCAAGACAAGCATAAAGAGCTACAAGCTCCCGTTTTTGAGTCAGGACACTTCTATTCGTATAAAGAGCTACAAGCTCCCGTTTTTGAGTCAAGAGAGCCTAGAATTAGCAGGAGTTAAGCTTCTTGACCTCTGAGTCGCCCGTTAAAATTACATTAAAATTACTCTTGTGCGTTGGCTTCTTTCTACGGGTAACGAGTCAAGAATCTGGACTCATCGACACCGTGTATATGTATATAGATGCGTGTAGTGATGTCCCGATGATCGATTATAATCGAAAATCGATCGATTATAGTCTCAAATTCGATAATCGATTATG